AAAAATAATTTGGTTGAACAAGCAAAATCTCCGAGCACATGACAAGTTTTAGGATATATTTAGTTCTTTAATAAATTCCCATTGGTTCTTAAAAGCAAGATTGATTATATAGGATAACTATTACTAAATATAATGGTGAAAATCGATGATTTCCAGAAATAATTGTAAATAAATTTTAGATAAAGAGTTGCTAGTAAAGTAAATAAATAGTAAAAAACCTTAAAGAATAAAGATAGGAGGAATTTAATTTCAAGGAGCAGTAAATATTTTGCGATAAACAGACCAATAAATAACATTTCTTATATAAATAGAACCGATAGGCCTAAGTCTATTTGATCGCAATGTGAGCAAAGGGGAGCCCTTTAACGTCCATGAAATCAGAAGAATAAATAGATTTTCATTATGTATATAAAATATCTTATACAAATTTAATTTAGACTGAATTTGGCAAAAATAACGACAGATATTTGCCATTAAATATAGGAATCCGAATCTAATCGAAGGCTTACCCAGGTTGGTCCCTACAACTTTATTATGGGTGGTGAATGGTGATTAGGAGCCGTGGCCATTAATGGGACTTGTAAAATATTTTTTGGCATTACAACTGATCAATAAATAATAACGGAAATTTGGTTATGATTCGTCAAATTTGGCTCATTCGAGGATCTAGTCTAAATTGGAAGGTTTTAAAATAAATTGACTGATAAGCTGCACTATTCAGCAACCAAGCTAAAGAATAGCAAAAAATAAATTAACCCCTTATGTATATTTACATACGCAGAATGAGTACTAAGAATTAAGAATTCACGAGTAAATAATGAAAAATGCTTACTTGAACGATTTCACAATGAATGAGATCAGCTATCTTTTTGTCGGAATAATTTCTTTGCTTTAAACGAGGATAAAGAAATTCATTTGATGTTCTTAGGACGAAAACTGCGTCAAACCAGCGTTCTGGGAAATAATCACACGAATGATACTCAACTATCTGGTTAGTAAGAAAGCATGAAAGGGATTGTCAATCAATAAATTAGAAAAAAATCATGGTGATCTAAATCATTCACATAAAATTAATTTAATCTGCGTAAAAATTCTGAATAGAAATAGAATAATCGTTTAATACAGTAGCGAGTTATTATGAAATAAGTATAAAAAAACAAGCACAATAGCAACCGTTACCTGTCCTCCAGAGTACATTTGTGGCTCCATTTGATCTATAACCCTGTCGTCGTCCAAAATGTAGCACTCATTTTGATCATCGTATCCATCATAGAGCTCAAACTCAGCCGCAACGTCATTCACACTGAGAAAATTCAAACTGGTTCGTCTGGATACTTCACTAGCCAAGGTAGATTTCCCCGTACCTGGGGTGCCAGTAATAAGAATATTTGGTTCTTTCCGTTTGCTCATATGTAGGCAGATTATAATACAATTATGAGTGTTCAGACAGCAAATTTAATGCTAGTTCTTGAATTCCACGGGAAGTATTATCAAGGCGTTTAACAGAATTAAGTGAATTTATGATAAGACCCTCTTGAGAGACAGCTATTTGTGAAGCTTTAAGAAGAACTTCAGAGGAATTGGAACCTTTGATTATTAATTCCGTAAGAGAATGAATGTCGTTTAAGCAAGACTTAAATTTTTCCGCAATACGCTGTTTTGATTCCTGATTCAGATTGGTAAAATAAGTCATTTATTCATCCGAAGAAAGGACATAAATAATAAAATGCCTATAGAAAAATACAAACACATTAAGTAGGAGAACAAAAAAGCAATGTGCTTGATTAGTAATTAGGCTGAGTAACTTTCCTAATGCTAAAGATGCTTGAAAGATAAAAATCGCATGGGAAAGGCTAATATAAAAAATAGAAGGTGAAAAATAGTTAGGATTAGACTTCATACAAAACAGCAGTAATGTCACGGAACCTGAAATTTCGACTAGTGGTTGCAGGCCATCCGGGCTACTTATTTGAAAAAAGAAAAACGGACTTCTCTAAAATAAAATAATGCAATAGTAGAGCGCAAAATCCTTCTTAGCTAGATTAGGCCAAAAGTATCAAATATTTTGATTAGGTGTTTTGTCTATCGACAAAGCAATTCAGATTAATATGATATAAGTACATACAAATTCTAGAATAAAGTGCAAATATAGACGGAAGCAGAAACTCGGCTATATAATATTAAAGCTCAGCCAAGCTAGAAAATTTGCATAGAGTTTCTCATCTAGTTATCACAACCTCAGGCAGGAAGATATAGCAGGGACAAGAACCTAGCCTGGGTGTGGGTTGCACTCTCCTGAAAGCCAAGAAAGACATTGAAAATAAGTTATTTAATGAGCTAGCTGTTATAATATACTGTATTATTAAAATTAAGGACCAGTCAATGGCTCATTTCTATTCAAGGCTTAGTTTTAATCTCAAGAATTAAAATTAATAATCATAATCTTGAGGTAAGGCCAAAGAGAAACATAAATTATCCATTAAATAAATATTTGGTGGCGATTTAAAGGAAAGAGAAAAGAGCAATTACTGAAGCACGCGGGTGCAGCTAGCACCATAAGCCAGACAAAGTAGGCGGTTAACGCATTAATCATGAGTTTATTATAAGTAGTAATTATCGCACCATATAAAAACTTTTTAGTACTTTATATATCCGGGCTTAGAGCCATAATTATAATTTTTTAAAGGAATGTAACTATAGAGTAACTTTAATCCTTTTTTGCTACAACAAAACGACGAATTTCATCAATCATATCATATATTTAAATAAAGTATTATATAAGTTCTTTTAAATTAGTACTGTTTTAGGAGAAATAATAACTTAAAGCTTTTTCAAAAAAGAGCTTTTGCTTTTACTATATCTATTATATAATGGACGAAAGCTTAGACCGGTTTCAATCTAATAGGAGGAGATTTATTAACTTATTACGTCAAACTTGATGTTATATTAAAGTAAACTGTTGCAGAATAGCACGAATTAGTCGTCGCCTATATATATATATATAATTACATAGAATATTTTTACAGAACGCTCTTTATTAGTTTAAATGCTTTGAAATTAACTAAAGTCAGCTTTTATATGCATAGATAATTTGAAGTTAGAATATCATAATATAAATCCCCTTTTCTCTTTCTCTTCTGAAAACTCGGCCAACTTGTGTTTAGTATGGCGAAATTGCGTTTCCGGACAATAATTATTTTTTTGTGATTTTCATACACGACGACATTTTGACAGATTAATTGTTTATGCCTTTTCAAATAAAAGCAACTTTTTAGTAAGAATATTATTAGAAAAGGTAATCTCCTCTTTATATTATCTTTGATGTGCCCAATTTAGTGCAACTTCACCCAACTGTTAAGTTTATTTACATGATATTGAACTTCTCCATTCTTCATTATTGCATACAAGGCTATCTAAGAGGACAAATCCCAAATGCCTAGTATAGTAGTTTCGAGAGGGGCTATCACATTTTCGAACTAGGATTAAGCCACAGAAAAAATGTTCCAATGAGCTAAGTCATAAGTGTCAGATAGCAGACCCTCAGTAATACGGACATTCAATTAAGTTCAGAGTAAATTCTTTGTCTGCTGGCTCTTTTCTCTTTTCAAAAACATTTTTCTGAGGTCCTGTAAAATCTTTACTGCCAGCAATAACTTAAATTAAAGATATCATACCGAGAGTCTTTGCCACAACAGATTTGCTCTTATTGTAGTTACTAAGGCTTTCTTGAATCGAATATATTTTTTTTACCTTGCTTTTTTACCTTGTCAATACATTCAATAAAGCCTAATACCAAGGCTCCTTTTGAGAGGGGATAGGTATTGCAGGAAAAGCAAAGCATTGGGGCTCATGTGCAAGAAGAGAAGAGCCGAAAGCCGATGATACCACTAAGAAGTGCAGTATCTGAAAGTGTAAAGGAGATAGTTGTGAGCTTCCTCATTTATATGCGTCATAACCTGATGAGAGTTATCCCCTTAACTATGAGGAGAAGGCTTGGTGTATACAGGTTCTATAGGATGGGTGCTCAAAATGATCTTGGAAGAGAGTTTGTCCACAAGAAGAATTTTGTAACGGACAATAATACACACACGGGAACTATAATTATTCTATTAATTGAGAATTCGTGATATTTCGTGAATTCTAAATGGAAGGACTTTAACAAGTTAGTAGGAGTGCTGTACCACGATAGGTCTTCTGGCGATGTGGTTATTTTTCGAGGGTGATATTTATAAACTAAAGGACCCCTCAAGGGCCCTAAACAAATTTGAATGGGAAAACTAGGGTAAACAGAAAAACAATTTCTAAAGATGGCTTATTGAGGATAGATTTACTAGAGCCGGAGGCAGGGAAGGAAGCAATAATACTGATGGTACCAATCGAATACTGCCCGCCTGTTTGTAATATAAGAGTTTTGATTGCAAAAAAGTACTGTATAAAGAATATATAAAGGTCCTATGTACGCATTTTTAAGGAATTCTAAGCATTCCCAGAATTTGTATCAATACTTTATGAGACTTTTACCCTTTTTTCGGAAGTATAATTCCATTTTAACATTGTTTGATGACTATTTAAAGCTTAGTAGCTTAATCTACATTTCCATCCAAGAGGCTACAAAATCGAATTATTTCAAACAGTATTTGTGTAGCTAGGCTGTAGCTAAGGAGGATTTTAATTAGCTGGCATATATCTAGCTAGAAGCATGCTCATAAAAAAACTGGGGGTGGCACCAGCCTTTGCTATAAAAGTGCAAGCATTTTTAACTTTGTGAGAAACAAGAGTAATTCTATTGGCTTATGAAAGATAACGTAGTATGGATCATCTGAGATTTCTACAGAGAAAAAATACTTGAACATTACTGCCGGTATCACTGAAGCAACTTAATTGAAAAGTTATATTGAACTAGATAAATGTATGTAAACGCATTAAAGGAAAGCTCGTATTGGGTGACATATGAAAATATATTATCTCGTACTTATATTTAGTTCAGTTATGAAAGATAGTTTAAGATAGATACAATAATAACGTTAACAATAATTCCCAAACTGAGAAACTCTTATATCCAAACGACGGAAGACTTATGGAGTAGAGTGGGAAAATAGAAGCTTTACGTAAAATATGAGTGACTCATGATTTGCTTCGTCTTCTTTTTGGAATAAAGGTCCGTTTGGTCTAAATTCTTCGCATTTTTATTGAAATTTTGTCCATTGGCTAATGAGGAAATTTATAAATAAGGCTAGCATGTTGAACAAATCGTAGATATGAAGACAAAGATACCGTAGCCTTACGCTTAATAATATTACTCTATAATTGTATAGTGTTGGTTCTACCGCATCTACGCATCGAAACGACAGGAAGACCCTGTGGAACTTATCTGGTCCTGCGTCCACAGTTATAGTATTCGTGATTTCCAGTATAGGAGTATTGACTTGGTACATCCCTGAAATTTTTGTTGGCATCGTAGTCAGCAACATTAAGGAGAGGGACTATAGCTAGCACAGTTAAATTTTCAAAGGAACAAGCGGGGAAATCTCCCTGACAAACTTTTTGAATAACCGCTGTGGCATCATTCATTGATCTTATTTTCCTCTTAGCCTTTGGATCCGTATCACTTTCTCTCAACCCGACTTCATATCTCTCATTTGCCAATCCAAATCATTCTGTGCTCTCTTTTCCCCTAATGTCGCCTTAGAGTGTATCGTTACAAGTGGATTAGGTGATATATGAGATTTATTCACCCTATTTTGTCTAAGGTGATGGAGGACTGGTAGTAGAATTTTCCCACAATGATATGAGTTGAGCTGACATTTTCATTGAATTTCACATAGCCTTGCTTTCCCAAAAGTTGTTTTCATCCAGAGTGGACTGCAGTTTCGACCTTACATCGGTCTTATCAACCTTTAGCGAAAGTCGAACCGCGACAGTGCAGAATGGGAGCTTGACACGCTAACTAATCGGCTACACTGCCACAAGTACCCTTGAGTCACAAGGCATAAGTGAATTTCAAGGAAGGTCAGGCCTCTTTGCTATATCATATTCTTTGGTGGGAGTGCCGATGGAAACGTCAGCTCAACTCATATCATTGTGGTAAAATTCTACTACCAGTCCTTCATCACCTTAGACGAAGTAAGGTGAATACATCTCATATTATTGATTTACTGGTATTCTCGAAACTCTACTTCAATACGAAAATAAGTGAGATATAACCACTTTCAATAGCAGCTTCAGATGCTGTTTACAGGACTTTCGACTTTCATTTAGCCCCCTTTACACATTGTTCGTTAATCATCTCTGCTGAACTTGAAAATCACTGTCTGACTGCCTGAGATCTGGCTGCTTATGAACCTTCAATTATTGTCCCATTTTACTCCATATTCGAGGATTTATAGCCTATGAGGCTCATATCCATGTCC